TATCTAAGCTGGAGGAACCACCAGAGCTGGAACTCAAATAGACAAAGGCACTGGAGATATAGAATAGGGAAACAGCTGTCAGATGAGAGGCACAGGTATTGAATGCCTTGGACCTTCCCTTAGCTGAAGTGATCTTCATGATGGACAAGAAGATATAGCCATAAGATACCATGATGGCTAAGGCATCTGTCGGCCCAAACAATATTGTTGCTATGGCAAGTACGACCTGTGCATCATAAGTGTCAGTGCAGGATAGATTTAACACCTGGGGCATGTCACAGAAGAAATGCCTGATGACATTTGGCCCACAGAAGTGGAGCTGCAGCATGGCACATACCTGAGATAAGGAACCTATGAGCCCTGCTGTGTAGCTTCCCACCACCATGCGAGCACACAGGGTGGGTGACATGATTGATGAATAGAGCAGTGGGTTACAAATGGCAGCATACCTGTCATAGGCCATGGCTGTCATGAGGCAAGATTCGCTCAGTCCCATAGTGGAAAAGATGAAGTACTGAACTATGCAGCCCACAAAACTGATAGTTTGATTTTCCTGGAAGAAGTTGGAAAGCATCTTGGGGATCGTTGTGCTTATGTAGCAGATGTCTATAAAAGACAGGTTACTGAGGAAGAAATACATGGGTGTGTGGAGGTGGGCATCCAACCTTATTAAAACAAAGAGAGACAGGTTCCAGGTGAGCGTTGTAATGTAGATCGTGAGGAATATAACAAAGAGCAGGGCTGCGATGTGCGGGAAATCTGAGAATCCCAGGAGGATGAATTTGGTGATCTCAGTAATATTTCTTCTTTCAGTCATTGCTTCCATGACTCTAGTATCAGAGAGGAGAAAAAGAACACTTGACTGGGTCAAGAAATAGTAGCATTTTCTGTGTTTTGCTTTGTGGGTTTGGAGGAGATGGAACACTCCATTGTCCTTCTACTGAAAAAATTCCAGCATTTCTTCTCTAGCTGACAATATATTTCCCAGATTTTAGCTGATTCACGTAGTGTCATGAGGATTATTAAAAATATATTTAAAGATTGACTGGAAATATTTATTAAAGCACCCATGAACTGCTGAAATTATGAAAAAGAAGGCAGATGTCATTGATTGTAATAAAATTGCTTCAGTGTCCACTGACACGTCTAGGTGTAACTGCTGCATCATACTTGTGATGGTGTAGGTGACATTATTTCAGAATAAAACTAAAAACGTTTTATATCACATATTATGACTTTAGTAATTATTGTAATTGTTCCTTTAGGAAAATTTATCCTATTTACACAATTTCTCAATTATTTGCTAATATATTTAAGTGCTACTATATAAGCTAATATATTTAATATAATATTTTCGAAGTGGCCTGGAGTATAATATAAGTATAATTGTGATAGAATGATGCATGTATGATCAATCAAAATTTGGAATAAGTCTTTGGGAAGCCCTTAAAGAAACACCCACTCTAAAAGTGATGGTTCATTCTTGGCACCAAGGGAGGATTATCTCTGTTTTAAAGTGTTTTTGTTTCTTGGACCACAATATAGCAGGAATATGGTAAAAGGTTTAAAATAAGGCCGTCAGGTCTGATGCTCTTTTTCATTATGATTTTGTCTAAAGTGCTTAAGGAAACTAAAGCTCTTTTCTTAACAAAGTGAGTGCCAGTGCCTAGAACCCTGAGTTTACTGGGAGGGTTATGAGCATCCCCAAATCATTGACATAAAGGCTTAAATTCAGAGAAACTTTTGAGCCATCGGTTGCAAGAAATTTCATCATTTTCCCTAATTGCTTCTTGCAACATGGATAGACAAAGTGCATTGTATTCTGTGTAGCCCACCACATACAGAAGGGACTGGGGAATGTGGATTCTTAGTTTTATTCCCAGTAAGATTTTTCTTGATAGTTTTACAATTTGGCAAGGGGGAATTCTGAATATACTCACTCTCTTTGATGGATATGTTCTCTGTATTCACCATCTCTCTGGATAGGTAGGGTAGAAAAGCTGACTGAAGGAAATCTTGAATGCAGACTTAATTAGATACATGGAGCTAATCAAGATATTTCCCAGTGCTGACTTGAAACAGATTCTATCAGTTTGAGGCTTACAGAAAACCAGGTGAAGGTGAGAATGTTGCTGCATAACAAATGGTTCAGATTCACACTACCTGCACCTATTGTGTGCATTCCAGTATCTGCTTTGCCATCCTGTAGACTGCAGACTGCCAGCACAATGAAGAAGCAGAGCCAAAATCTGTTTGAAGCCTTTCGAAGGGGAAAAGAAATTACATGAGGACTGTGTTCTGTCATTAATACTTACTTTGTCTTTAGCTAAACAAAAAATTATTCCTCAAGCCATTTATTTCTTTTTTCTTTCCTTTATTTATTTTTTAAAAAAGAAAATAAACTATCATTTTCTCATTATACATACCAATCCCACGTTCCCACTCCCTCTCCTCTTTCCATTCCCTCCACACACCCTTCCTCCCCACTCCTATCCAATCCTCAGTGAGGGAAAGGCAAATTGTCAAGCCGTGTATTTAAACAGAGATCAAATCATTATTTTAAAATCAGAATTCTGAAGAAGAAAAATGAAATATAATCATCCTAAAGATTGAGAAATAGGGAAACACAGACAAGCATGTTTTAATCTCAGTCAATTTTCCTGACAGAAAGTATTTTGTTTTGGTTCAGGTCTCTATGACTGCCTTGGACTGCAGTCAGGATTTACACTCACCGTTTCATTTGTCATTAGATGACCACCTTTCCCTCCTAACACCAGAGAGCAATCAGAAGGCAATGGATTCTGAAGTCAGATATTTTCCACTTCTGCAGTCATCTCACACTCCAGATTTAGGTTTGAGATAATTATATTCACCAAAGGTCAGAAATCTGAGTAAAGAGAGAGAAAACGACATTCAGGGTTGGGAAGTGGAGAGGTGAGGGGGATGAGTAGGTGAGGTCAATTTCTAAAAACATAGTCCCTCTTAAGTCTTACTTTTAAAAACTACATGGGTCTTGAGATAAACCTTAAGATAAACTTAAGGTTTCTATCTTCCAAACCTTAAGTTTCAGTCCCAATTGCAATATTGGAAGAAGACAAGGTTCATGCGTTTATTTATCTTCCCATATATTTTCCAGTTGAGCTCAATTCCTCTCCTAAGTGCATGCTTTCGGCCCAGGACTTAGCTGGTAGCTGTCCACTGACAGCAAGTTTGACAGAAGCTCTGGGATCCTGCTGAGACTTAAGGTGGAAGGGGAAAAGCCAATTATAGGGAACACACTATAGACACTTGCTCTCTGGTGTAATGGTTGCCGGAGAGATTTCCCTAATGATTTCAGGTCCACTTTGCCATTTGTAGCAATTTTCTACTTTCCTCTAGTCTCCTTTATTTAATTGTTTTTATTGAGCTATATATTTTTTCTTGCTTCCCTCCTTTGCTCTCTCTCCCCTCCCCTTCTACCTTCTCTTGTGGTCCCCATGCTCCCAATTTACTCAGATCTTGTTTTTTTTTGTGCTTCTAATGTAGATTATATCCATGTATGTCTTTCTTAGGGTCCTCTTTGTTCTCTAGGTTCTTCCAGATCATGTAGGCTGTTTTTTCTTTTCTTTATGTCTAAAAGCCACTAATTTATATAGGGAATACATATGATATTTGTTTTTCTAGGTCTGGATTACCTCACTTAATATGAAGTTTTCTAGATCCATTCATTTTCCCACAAATTTCAAGATGTCAACACTTTTCCTGCTGTGTATTACTCTATTGTGTAAATGTAGCACATTTTCTTTATCCATTCTTCAGTTGAGGAACATTTCAGATGGTTCCAGGTTCTGGTAATGACAAATAATATTGATACGAACATAGTTGAGCACATGTCCTTTTGGTACAATTGAGCATTCATTGGGTATATACCCAAATGTGGTATTTAGGTAGGTTGTTTCTTATTTTATTGAGAACTCACTATAAGAATAACCAAAGTAGATGAGCCAGTTTGCAATCCAACCAGCAATAGAGGAGTGTTCCCTTTTCCCCAAAACCTCTCCAGCATAAGTTATCATCAGTGCTTTTGATCTTGACCTTTCTTACAGGTGTGGTTAGAAATCTCGGAGTAGTATTGATTTGCATTTCTCTGATTGTAGAGCCTGCACTACAGGATGGTACATGAGCCAGCAACTAAGTTGGAGACTTAGAAGCACATGCGTAGAGAGAGACACAGGAACACGGGTCATTCTTCATACAAGAGCGCCAACTTTATTGTGCACCAGGGAAGCTTATGTAGGGATCTTGACAGCCATGCCCCAGCTCTCAGGATCTTTCAGCTGCAGGCCTCATCAGAACCCACTCCCCTGCCATCAAGGTCTCGTGCTCAGAGCAGCTGCAGTAACAGGTTTTTGCTCAGTTCACTCCAGCAGACAAAGGGTCTGAGGCAGGCAAAGAAAGTCAAGGGTTCAGGGGTCTGCAGCCCCCAACATCTGAGGGCTAAGGGTATTGAGCATTTATTTAAGTGTCTTTTGACCATTTTAGATTCGTTTATTGAGAGTTCTCTCTCTAGGTATGTACCTCATTTTAAAAATAGATTGAAATAATCACACAGAAATTGTATTATTTCATTCACTGCTTGTACTATTAGCTCTAGCTTCTTATCGGCTACCTCTTTTTTTTTTCACATAAGAAACGTGTTTATTTGGAAAACAATTTCAAAATTACCTCCCAAACTCAGAAGTCACAGCCCAATATATACATTCCAAGTAAACAAGGCAGAACTTTACCAATTGCGCGCTTAACAAAACTTTTATCTGATTTTGGGATGAAGAGCTTTCCCTAGTAAGAACCAACTGGAGTGTATAAACAGCTTTCCTAAAGGGTAACATCATTAATGGAATTATAGACGATTTACGTAAGTCTTAACACATCTCCTCTTGGGAAGCATTAAATATTCTTTAGTTTGGTTATTCTCTTTCTGCCCCAATTTTTAAAATCACGTTACTTATTTTTACGGACTCATTTTAAATTTTCATTAAGATTGACATTTAGTTACTTCACTTGCTTATGTCTCCTTTCTCCTTTGACACTCGTTAAGAACAACTCAGTATTCTGACTTTTTCACCTTGAACTTCATACTAACCACCCCATCTATTCCAGCCTCGATCTCATCATTTTCTTTAACTGGTCCAACCCCCTTTGGAGTCCCGGTCAATATAAGATCTCCTTCCAAGGTTACTATCTTGGAAACGTAGCTAATGATGTAGGGGATGGAAAAGATCATAGACGATGTTTTGCCCTCCTGCCTGAGTTCACCGTTGACCTTGAGCCACAGTCTTAGGGCATGAGGGTCAGGGACCTTCTCCTTGGGCACGAAGGCGCTGACAGGGCAGGAAGCCGTGAAGCTCTTGGCCAGGGTCCAGGGAAGTCCCTTCTTCTTGCACTCTTCCTGCACATCTCTGGCAGTCATGTCCAGGCACAGGGCGTAGCCGGCCACGTAGTCCATGGCGGCAGCCTCGGGGACGGCTTGAACACGCCTGCCTAAGAGCACTCCCAACTCCACCTCGTGGTGCAGGTTCTGGCAGTAGGCGGGCATTAACACCGGTGAGCCCTCGGGAGCCTACGCGGTGGACGGCTTCAAGAAAAGCACAGGCTCGCTTAGCACCGCGCTGCGCATCTCCTTGACGTGGTCTGCCTCGGCTACCTCTTACATATTAATTTAACCCATTACTATTAATCTGTGTATTGCCATGAGGCTGTTGCTTAGTGAGTAAAGTTCTGAAATCTGTCTGCGGCCGAGCTTCGTGGCTTCTCCTGACTACCTTCTTTCTCTTAGCATTCAGTTTAGGTTTCCCCACCTAGTTCTGCTCTACTCTGTCACAGTTGCAAAATAACTTCTTTATTAACCAATGGTATTCACACCATACAGAGGAAAATCCCACATCACAAGAGCATGGGAGATCTTTTCATTTTCTTGTGCCTTCTTCAATTTCTTTATTCAGAGATTTAAAGTTCTTGTCATACAGATCTTTCTCTTGTTTGCTTATAGTTACTTCCAGATATTTTACCTTCTTATCTCCTATAATGGTTTTTACTCTACCAACCTTAGAGCTGTGTGTGCTAGAAAAGACATAGAAAATATTCTAGTCCCCAAAGTCTCAACTTTTAGCTTGCAATGATGAGATCAGAGATGTTACAGGTTTGGCTCTCAGTGGCACAGTTGGCTCGTTACAAAGCTTGAAACAATCGGTTGCAGTTACATAAACTGCTTTGTTCACAACACACTTTTAAAGGAATACAAACATTTATTTTCTTAGACACCTAAACTACATCAATCACCTTAACAATATTATTTCTTATGCACACAAGAAGAAATAACAGACTGAGATTTGCCCTAGTTCTTCATAATCATACTGGTGACCTAATATGATCTTTGGAATTTGCTATCATAGAACTCCGAATTCTGGCTTTGTCACTTACGGCTTGTGTGACTTTGTTAGCCTCCTCAGGCCTCACTACTGTCAGCCACTAAATGGAGCCAAAGTCATTACTAGTTCATAGAGAGCTCTCATAGAGAGTCTAAAGCTTGATAATCAGTAAGTGTATTCTTCATAATTTTATGGAGCACACAAGTTATACATTTACTTTGCCTTGCTACACTTTCCAATTTATTATTCTGCATTTCTAATTCTTCATGAAAACAGTCCTTCCTTATAAAAAATATACCTCTTAATCTAGGGGTGACACCATGTAGAAATTCTTCAGTCCACATTCACATGCATATCCACTATTTTTGCAATATTCTGGTCTTGTACACATACAGATATTGTTGAGAGCTTACTGCTGTGTTTTCCCTGTCATACTATGGGACAGGATTCATTAACATGAGTCTCTGCTTACAGTTCCTTACAATCTTTCTGCCTTTTTTCTTTGATTTTCTCTGATTCTTAGGTTTGGGGTTCGCTTCGCAGATGTGTCCACTGGGGTTGTGCAACCACACAGGGACTTTCACATATACATATGTATATACAGTAGCAGTAATAAAGAAGAGATCATGATGTTGTAACATGGAGAATTGGAATGGGCAGGAAAAAAGAAGTAATGAATATTAAGCACTGATGTGTGAAATTCTTATAAGGACTATTAAAAATATAAACTCTAGGCTAATTGCCCAAACTTTGTTGGTTTACTTAGAGGAGATCTCAAGTGTAACAGAGAAGGTTCATCTCTATTTTAGTTTCTGGTGATGCAGGCAACCTCAGTTTATCTGCTAAAGTCACACTTATTTGGAGGGGGAAAGAGTGTATGCAGAATCTGAATAATCTAATTCTCATTGGTAGGTGAATAGTTTTATGTTTTTTGATAAGGTTTAATGATACAGTTATTAAAACTGAACAGCTTTTCTTTTTTATAAAATTTGAAGTAGAGTTTTAGCTGTACAGTTTACTTTGAGATACATGCTTTAGCAAAAATGCTAATATAGTAAAGGTAATTAGGATAGCCATCATCTGACAAGATGTCCAGTTTACTCTTATAGGAAGCACAGCCACACAGTCAGACATGGAGTAGTAATGAAAATAAGATATACAGAAGTAAGATAAAGGAAAAATCCAGAGGTAAAAGATAATTGAGATAATTTAGGTTAATAAAAGTTGACAAGAAACATGCCAAGTTAAGGCTGTGCATTTATAATTAAGAATAAGCCTCCGTGTGTGATTTATCTGGAGTTTTGGTGGTGGACTACCCACCAAAGAGCAAAGAGTAAAATAAGTCAACATCATTTAGGTGTACCAATGATATCTACCTAGTTAGGGCCCGAGAAAGCTGGAAAAATAGATATGGCTTCTTTAAGAGGTTCTGCTGTTCAGCTGTCAGGGCAGTGCTAAATAAAAATGGAAAGCTATAGCATGAATTATAAAAACCCAGAGACAGATACTGGGGTTAGAGCTGAAGATCAGAAAAGCAAAATAGTCAGCTACTAGAATAGTCTTTCCTCTATCAAGGCTGGGAGACTACAGACTAAGCCTGAGCCTCTGTTCCCTCCCCTCTTATATTCCCCTCTAATACTAGGATTGGCATGTGACTCCCTCGTACTGAGATTAAAGGTTTGAGCCACTACCACATGGAATGTTTCTGCATTGATCTTGTGTATCCAAAGGTGGTCTTGAACTCACAGAAATCAATCTGCCTCTGTCTCCCAAATCCAGGGAATAAAGGTGGTGACACCTGGTCTCTAGAGGCTTAGTTTTATCTTCTGATCTCCAGACAAGATTTATTTATAAATACCACTATAGCATGCTAAGTAAAAACCACTTGTGGCAATGCAGGTACAGGCTTTCTCCAACTAGGGAGGTTGAATGCAGTTCCTGGTCAAACAAACCTCCAACCAACCCACAAGCTTTAGGCTTGGCTTTCATAAATGTAGAAGAGAGATGAAGAGCCATGTTGAGGATCCAGGAGTGGATTACCAGACTTAAGTTTACTTGTGTGATCAAAAAAGAAAAATACACCATAAAAAAGGTTCAAAAAAAATTCTAAACAGTTCCCAGAGTGTTTTTCAATGTATGTAGGCTTAAGAAAGAAAGAAAAAGCATTCAAACAGTCATATAATGAAATAAATAGTTTAAAAATAACAAAGACTTTTAAGAGACAGTAAAAGTATTAAAAAAGGAATAAGCAACATAGAGACAGGAAATAGACAGGGAGTCTGGCTCCTAGAGATTATTGGGTTGATATTGCATTTTTTTGATGCTGACAAGCAAACAATATCTGGCATAACTGGATGTCAAAATGTAGGGAAATGAAAATAGATCCATATTTATCGCCATGCACAAAACTCACATACAAATGGATTAAAGACCTCAATATAAATCGACCACACTGAACCTGATAGAGGAGAAAGTAGGAAGTAGCCTTCAATGCATGAGAACAGTAGATCACTTCCTAAATAGAATCCCTGTAGTACAGACAATAAGAGCAACAATAAACAAATGGGACCTCCTGAAACTGAAAAGCTTCTGTAAAGCAAAGGACACAGTCAATAAGACAAAAAGACAGCCTACTGATGGTAAAAGATCTTCACCAAACCCACATCAGACAAAGGACTGATCTCCCAAATATAAAAAGAACTCAAGAAATTAGACAATAAAATTCGAAATAACCCAATTTAAAATGGTGTACTGAACTAAACAGAGAATTCTCAACAGAAGAATTTCAAATGGCCAAAATATACTTAAGGACATGTTCAACTTCCTTAGCTATCAGAAAAATGCAAATCAAAACAACTCTGAGATACCATCTTACACCTGTCAAAATGACTAAGATCAAAAACTCTAATGATAGCTTATGCTGCATAGGATGTGGAGTAAGGGAAATACTCATCCATTGTTGGTGGGAATGCAAACTTATGCAATCACTTTGGTCATACTTTTAAAAAATTTATGCAGCAAATACCGTTTAAATTCAAGAATTCGAATGACTTCAAGTGAGAATCCTTTATGAGTCATTACTATATTCCAGATAAACTGTATTATTGGAGATATATTTCAGTGTATTTGTTTAGAATCTATTTATCTTACAGGTTTTATTATAAATTCAGTCTTAGAGTAATTGGAGATTGCATGAGATTTTATATGTCTGTTAAGTACCCCAAAATAAACTATAGCATAGTTTATAGCACAAAAAAGGCTAGAGGATAAAACAAATTACTTGGATATGATGAAATAATAAGAGTGACTTGAATTTTTTTATGATCTGACTAAGTCAAATGTTATAGATATGAGGTTCAGTTCTGCTGAACAAACAATCAAAATTTCAATAGATTAATAACCGAGCTTTAGTTTTATTACTATCCCATAATCCCCGAATGTCAGGTAAGGTAGGTCAACTTGAACCATCGCTCATATCCTCCTAATAGAGCAATCTCTGTCTGTCACATTGGCTTCTAGTGACAAAGTGAGTAAGCAGACAGGGCTAAGTATCACCTTTCTCTTCAGACTTCCTCCTGCAAATCTTCACATCACCTCTGCTCCTCTTTCACTAACAAAATCTAACACAGTTAAAAGTGATTTTGAGCATTTGTTATGCTCGATCTTAAGTAACTAGAAACTAGAGAAACTTAAGAAACTAGAGAAAGAAAATATGGAACAGGCTAATGCCATTGTCTCTTAAACACGAACTGGTTTTTAGAGCCTAAATATAGACAAGCAACCTTGCTTTATTCAGAAAAGTCCATCCAAGTTCCTCTCAGACACTCCTATTCAGGGTTCAAGATCTTTGATAGACACTTAGTAGTTTCTTGAGTATACCTATATTGTTCTTTAATTTTGAAGGCCTGTATATTTTTTTTGACAGTACTAAGGCATTTATTTGGGGTTCTGAGAAAGTGTTATGAACATGTGTTTAGTCCTCAGAATAACACATTCCACAAAAAAGGAAAACAGAAAAAAGAGAAAGCAGTTTATCACTTTCAATTACAAAAAGGTTTTATTATTCCAATTGCTCTGTTTTCCTCTACCCTTCAATAAAAATATGTTTACAATCTGGAAAGAAGGCAACATTTTATTGACTTAATGCTTTAACTTGTCAGGGTAATAGCTAGAGGGAAATGCATATGATATGCAAAACTGGTAACCTAATATCTTTTTTTTTGTTTCTTTCAAGACAGGATTTCTCTGTAGCTTTGGAGCCTG